TTTAATATATTTACAGCAGGAAATTTACAAAATATCTTCATGGAATATGATCTTTACTCAATATCCTAATGATTTTTGGCATTAAAAATTGTTTTTTTGTCTTCCTTGGTGCCTCAGACAGTATATCTTTGCGATAGCTCAGCCCCCCTGAAGACAGAACTGGAGAGGGAATCAAAAAGCTAAAAATAGCACAGAGCAGATGCTCCGTTTTCTGAAAAGCCATTATCAGTCTGGGCTGCTGCAGAGGTATGCACAGCAACACTTTAGCACCCTCACACATCCCAGGTGAGGTGAGAAACAGACAGCAAGGCAAGAGGAACAACCAAGCAAAAGAATGTTGTACTGCTTGTATAAAACATCTGCTAAATAATGCATTGACCTGATCATGCTTGCAATTTATCCCTGCTTCTAAAGATAACCTTTAGCTCATTGCTTTCATAATGTAGGTGCTTCAGTTCCTCTTGTTCCTCTAAAAATGTAAGATTATGTCACTTCTCTTAATACTTCATACAGCCAGTGCAGTAAACATGTTTTTAGGATAAGTCTCTGAACCCTTATCGTACCAAGTGTTAGAATACTTTTATGTCAAATATTTTTCACAGTAGAGTGCTACAGGGTTGATGAGTTTTTGTCAAGAGAACCAAGGTGATGCTAACTTCTAAGTTGGCAAAAATACATCATGACTGCAGAATTCTACATGTCAAGTGTAGGAATGGAGTTCTGTTAACTATAGAAGGAACATGTGCCTTAATTAGACCAGTTAATAAATAAATACATACATACTTACATACAACTGTTTTTCAGTGTGATTTGAGATAAAAAGAAGAAAAATTTATGATTTCGTTGTAGTCAGATTTCATTGCTGATTTGAAAATCAGTCTTTTTGGTCTTGATTCATTCCGGCCCATCTTTAAATACTGTATACTCTACCACAGTATTGGAAACTTATACTAAGGTTATTAATGAGTGACTATTACTTAGGCTTGGATAAATCACTTAAGTAATATATAAATAGAAAATAGAAAACACGTTCCACTTTAGAGGCATTAGGAGCAAAGCAACATGGGATATACTGTTTACAATGTGGTTCACTTTACGTGATTTACTTAAGAGCCATTCCCACTATAGGAAGACTGAGAGAGGAGAGCTGTTAGAGGAAGAAAGCCGATGCCATAGCTAAAAAGATAAGTGCACATTTAGGATGTCCATAGGGACAAACCAAACCCTATTGGCCTCACGACTCATCCCGATGAACAGCACATCTAAACAGCTGACCTAAAACTGGGCTAGTAGACAATTCTGAAACAATATAGCTTTTTGAGAATTAAAGAATTTTTTTTTTAACTGATTTGAATTCAGAACACCAAAAAATAGTCTCAGACAGTTTTCATAATCAATTACCTTTATTAACTTTGATATGACGATGTTAAATTTCAAGATGAAATATAAATGTACAGAAGGCCTACTCTCTTTCTTTATGCATATTAATGGTATTTAATGAGTGTAGTACACGAGTGTATATTATTCCAAAGGAAAAAAATGGTTTGTCTTCATAATCTTTTATTAAATCATAATAAATTGTTTTTCCTTTTCATTCTGGTATCACTTACAGTAGGCTGTATAATGTTAACTAACAGCCAGATAGCTATTTAGATTAAATGCCCGGATGTCTTGCTGTGGTTGATGCGGTCACTTGTCCACCATCTGTGCTCGTCTAAGATTAAGTGCACTTATTTTTGTGCTTGTACTAAGGGCTGCATTGGAAACCTGTCTTAAATACTGCAAGTTATTTCTGTTAATTTCTGAACTTTAAACTCCCTGAGGATGCATTTAACTTGCTGTTTATTTAAATCTGAGCTGGTTAGGTTCAAGGAGAGAGCTATTTGTTAGCTTTCCCCATTCATCTCAATGGCAGG